TACGAAGTTATTGAAACAGGCAGCTAGCCGGGAGTTTTCGCGCGGAATCTACCCTTTAACCATCATGATGAAAAATATAGCAATGAACTATGAGGCCCTCACAAGGCTGTAAAATGTTCATCCGCAAATATTCATAAGTTAGACAAAAATGTTTGATTGTCGGAAGGGCCAAATTGGGCGCGCAAACGGCGTGCTTTGTAGTTGATCTAACTGGGAGCATTGACCTATCGATTCGCATGTTCAAAAGAGCATATAAGGGGCGACCCCCTAGCAGTTATTCTTCTGGTTCGATTTCGACTCGACAGCCACCCTTCCGACATCCACTCCCCTCGGTGTCGCTGCCGAAGGATTTCATTCGCGTTATTATTGTGTCATTTTTTTCATCGCTTCGTGTCCGTTGTTATTGATATTGCCGAATAAATTGTTCGGACAATTTGGTGTCTTGTCGGTCGGTCGGTCACAAACCGTGAATTTATTGGAGACTTGCCAAATTGTACACAATCTCTGGAATTTTTGCTTCCCAAAACAGAGCATTGTGTCTTTTCTTTATCTGAGACACAGCTAGTAGAAGCTTAACTACGTCTCCTGCAAGATTGAGGTATTCTATGATTTTATTCAAGCTTTTCAGGCACATCTGTCATTTTTTGACGTCTTATCTTTGGATTCGACTGCTGCATAAGCCTGGAAAGTTGATGGGAATGGATTACGAGAGAACTGCTAAGAGGTCGCGCTCATTATCTCACGTAGCTTCCCACTTTCTAGGGCGCTACGAGGTCTTATTCTTCTACTAATCCACACAGGCGGAGCCCGTTCACGCACGAGCGACGTTCGTTATTTTCGTCAAGATTCTAGAAGGAACTTGTCGATGATCAATCTCTGATTCGTAAGAGATTTAAATTCTCGGACGAGCAGCTGGATTAGATTACGAAGCTGCTGAGCCCCCTTCTGAGGAGCGAGGACCGGCAGCCTCGGGCTACATATAAGTAGGCGAATGCAGGTAGGTATAAGCGAGTCAGTTGAATCGGCGCAGTGGCGAGTATTACGATAGCTTGTTTCGGGTGTGCATAGATATCCGCTACCTATGCACTAATGCACTAATTCATTCCAGATTGTAGTGGCCGACACCGCCGGATGCTGCCAAAAGACGGTGTCCAATATCATTGCTCGTGTTGTGGATGCCTTGGCGCATCCCGACATCGTGCAACAGTTCATAAAGTTCAAGCCCGAGGACGAGCAGTGGTGCAGGTTCCCGATCCAATGAGTTTGCAAGGACCGGGAGGATGTCCAGTGAGTAGTGAAAGTAGTGCAAGTATTACATCATGAGCGACGTCAATATAATACTATCACTTATAGATGTGATCGGAGCCGTGGATGGCACACCGGTCTGGATAAGGACTCCGGTTGCTGACGGGTATCAGCACGTGAGCAGGAAAGGAAGATCATGCCAGTTTGCTCTTATTTTATTCCCTCCTAATTAATCGTTGATTGTAGATGAGCGAGAAAATTCACAATCACCTGGGCACCATTATTTACCTAAGGGAGCGGGGCAAGTCCATACGCGCAGTCGCTGATGAAGTTCGAAAGTTGAGTTTCTGTTTTCCCAAGGGATTTTCTGACTTAATTAACGTATTTTGTTGGAACAGATCACATTATATACGTAATTATAGGCGGACCCTTCACTGACTTACATGGCAATATGGAGATTCCTCAAGAGATTTGAGCGCAAATCCACCGTGATAAATGCGCCTCGTTATAGACATGGTTTGTACAGTAACAATCGCGCTGAATCCCCACACACCTTTAGTCGGAGGCTTTTTTCAGAACATCACGCCGAAATTATCGCAGAAATCAATCGTTGCTACCGGAATATTAGCTCTTCAACTGCAACGGAAGTGGTGAATCGCCTTAGGACCAGGGGTATTTCAGTAAGCAGTGCCACCGTTAGGAGGCTCCGAAACCGTCTCGGTTTCAAGAAGGCAACCACAAAATACTGCCATGCAATAAGGGATGAGAATAAGTTTGCTAGGGCCAATTTTTGTATGGAAATGCTTGAGACGGGCACCACCTTTTCCACCTGGGTGTTCACTGATGAGTGCACCGTGCAAAGTGAGCGTTTCTATCATTTTTTTTCGATCACCAGCTCTTGTTAGTGAGGTTGACAAAATTTCTTCTTTTTAGTAGACTGCTCGACGAGGTTTTGCTTCGTGAAATCTGGAGATCAGATCTCCAGGATGCGACACCGGGCAAAGCACCCAGCCAAAGGTCCATATCTGGGGTGGGATTTCTACGCGGGGGCTACTAAGCTTGCTATACTGCCGGGAGACCGCAAAATAGATAGCGAGCTATACTGTAGAATCCTAGAAAAGTGCTACCTGCCTTTCAAAGAGCAGGTTTACAACGGTAAGTCTGCGACGTTTTCTGGGTGTGTATCAGATCTTCCGAATAGGTTAGGTCATATCTGATTAGACCACATCAGAGCACTCATGGCCCAGTCATGAGTCTGGGCTTTGGTCATCTGGCACTTCTCGCGACTTGACCTGAACGGAATACGAACGCATCCCATTTCTTTTCACTTTTTGTCAGAGTTGATTATTCTGTAACTTTAGGCTTTTGTGAGTTGGTGCAGGACAATACACCTCCTCATAAGAGTCGTTACACTACTGATAAAATCAGTGAATGGGGTATCGAAACGGTATCGTGGCCAGCGGAGTCGCCGGACCTCAATCCTATAGAGCTCGTATGGGGCAATATGAAGAGCTACATCAGGTAAGCAAACCACTAAGGGAACGATCAATGAGCATTCATCTGCCATTTGCAGGAAACAAGGCGTGCGAAAGCTAGATGACTTGAAGGCTGCAATATTAAGGTACTGGAAAACCTTAACTCCCGAAGTTTGTGCCAAAAACAATACGCTGGTGGTACAAGGGGTAAAATGAGGCGGGTGGTGCAACAACGAGAAGAATCATTGTGGGAGGGGGAAACATTGGGAGGAGAAACAGGTCCTAGCCTCCATACAAAGGCAGGACGACGAGGCAATGGATGAAGAGCCAGAGAGTGAACTGTAAACTTGCTATGGTGTTTCGTAAATAGAATTGAAATACGTCCACTTCTTATGTTAGTGTTTTCTTCACTTTCAGTTTTTTTTTACTTTTTGGTCGTTTTAATAAAGCTTTGTACGTTTGAATCCGACTGTTTTCTCACGCGAACCGTACAGAAAAATGCACTAGGTTGCAGGCGACTGTCATTGATGCATGCTGGCACCTCCCAGTGTCGTATGATGAGCGGTTAGGGCGACGAGTCGCTGTCAGCGCACAGGACGGTATCGGATCTTCTGCCACTTTTAATTTGAAACGCAAAGACCGTAAAATTAATCTCCATGCTCTTGCGCAAGTTTGTATCACGCAAGTGGGGCGAGTTTCAGTTACTTTGGTGGAGGCCCCATTATCTCCTTCGAAACCCTGAACTTGTGAAACTGTAGGGAGTCTGAATAAGAGAGGGCTTAGCGATTTGAACCAGTGTTTCGAAGGGAGGTGATAACACCGCGAGGCATTGACCTCAGATCAATGCAGAGCGCAGACTAATTACGAGGTCAACGAGCGATCAGTCGCAATGGCTAGCCATCATAAAAAGAAGTAAGAGACCGTAAACTAGAAAAATTCAAACAACTGTCGGAGAAACAAACTATACATTATCGAATAGTATTGATCGTGTCGCGTACGACCAGGTGATGAATTGAACGGATATTTTAACTGGTTGGCAATTACAGCTTGTCAAGGGGAGTGCTGGGCCTCTTTATTATCAAGGAGGAATTTTCATCCAGTAGGTATTATGACTATGTATAGGAAAGCAATATGACTAATTCTCAGGAGTACCACTTCATTTCTCGCTCACTCGCCTCTATGAAGTCCGTTTTTGGAAGGGGAAAAGATGGGATTATTGGCAGAATGTGATGAATGCCAATATTCAGGGCGAAATTATGGAAGAACCATTCACCTATATCTAAGCATTCGACAAAATTCTTGAATAGGTCCATAGTTAGATTTGAGACGTAATAGCCGGTTTCGCCCAGTCATTTCACCAGAAGTTCGTTATGAAATTTGCTTTCCGAAATTCGAGAATGTCATCAAATTTGAAGGATCGGGCTTGCATTTGATCGTTGGACTATGGAAAACAGGGATAATAACACATCAAAGGGAGGTTGGGCAACAGGGGGCTGCGCTTCCTTCGTAGGGGTGACCCAAATATCGACTGCTCAGTCAGGTCCTGTGAGTGTCGTGAATATAAAGTTTGCCTGAGCACGATGGACACTTTACCGACTACGGTGTCCTACTTTGAGGTCAGAAGTGAATTTCAACCCAGCTTACAAGGTGAAGCTGATGACCTAGTTAACAAATCTTGACAAATAACACGTCCACGAACTCGTCGTGGAGAGCCCTATCCCATTGTGTTTGAATTTTTTCGTTTCACTGATTTTTTCACTGATTTTCAGCGGAGTTATGGAGGTGCGACGGTTAGTGATAGACTATTCTGTCAATCGGCGTCGATTTTTCACAATCTGTGAGCGGTATTGTAATTGCAAGAGCTGGCAAATGGCCAACTATTATGGCTATTTGCCAGCAATTGCAATTGGAGCGCAGGTTCGGACAACTCGTCCAGCACGCGTCTTCTCTCATCGCTAAGGGCAGAGGGTGAGTTCCTGTTCAAAGCCTTATTCCGCGTTTTTCTTTGGTTTTTTCATTACTGTCGGTCAAATTGTGGGCTATAACTACATTATCAACGGTTTTTACCTCGTAAATTCGTCCTGGAACTGTTGCTTTAAGTCTCATCAGTCTCTTCTGCAATGAGATATAACACTTTTGAAATCTCATGAACTTCACCCATTTTCGATGTTGCATTGAAACTGGATATTTTTGGGACTCCCGTATTTCTTATATTATTTTCATGGTGAGCTTTTGGCAGCAGTCTCATTTACTAATCACGCAATATGCCTACAAAAAAAAGAAGTGAAGAAAACTCTACAAGATTCGGCCGGATAAGCACAGAAGAGCGTTGGCCGATTACGCCACTTATTCTCGTGACAGTTTGTTTCCCTAGATACTATAGGTTGAGGTATGAACAGGGTGGAAAGCGGTGGAGGATTCGTCGACGACTCGTTCCAAATACACCCAACTCTATTGGAGTCCTTCCTGTCACCCCATTCTCGCTTTCTGGCTAATTATTGTTTCATTGCACCTTAACAACAAACAATGAAAGATTAGCGGTATAGTGATTGTTGCCTTGATCGTATGCACATCAAATGCCAAAACTCAGCACATTTTCTTCTCTCTCTCTCTCTCCCTCCCGGCCCAATTAGTTTTACAGACAACTTCTTTCAAATTACGCCCAGCCACATCAGAATACTTGCAACTGAGATGTTGTAAGGACGTCAGTCCAGATGTTTTGTCTTTGAATGTAACATATTTATTAGAGATAAAAACGCAAACATTATTAACCGTTTGCACATATTATAGCATGCAAGATAGGAAAAAATCTACACAACGACATTGTTCTACAGTAAGACAACTAGAACCCCGGAATTAGGTAGGTGCCCTACACGCGCTCGATCCGGCCGCTTACATGCTGGCAGCATCGCAAGCCTTCAACGCCTCGTCCCGCTCTTCTTCGAGTTCCTTAATAGAACTATTTTTCGTCAAAAGCTGAAGGGTGAAAGGAATCGGAATCGCACCTTCTGAGTTTCGGCAAGCTTGGCCTTAGCGAAGTCGTCAAGCGAAAGCCCTTGAACGATCTTCCACTCCTTGGTTGCCCCGTCAATCGTGACTGGGAACGAGAACAGCAGACCATTTGGAATACCGTAGGATCCATCAGAAGGAATAGCCATCGAGACCCACTCACCCTGAAAACGGGATAGTTAACACAAAAACCGATAGACATTGTCTAATGGAAAATTTTAGGCCAAAACCTACAGGCTTGGTACCGAAGTGCCAGTCATGAATGTGGTCACAGGCAGCTTTCGCGGCTGACATCGCCGATGAGAGCTTACGCTTCTGGATAATGACAGCACCTCGTTTTTGGATGGTCTGAAACGCACTGCCTTGAATTTGGCGATCAGCTGATTCAGAAAAGTTAAGTACCGACCGAGATGAAGGGACCTTGCAAAAAGGCAGTGTCGTTGACCGCAGTGTAAGCATCAACAGCGCTACCACCTGAAAGTACCGAAGTTTTACCTTCTCACTTTTTGCGCTCCCTTCCTAACACCATTTGGTGCCCTCGAAACACTTTCTTATATACAGGGGTGGCCAAAAAAAGAGACACTTTGCCCATGGCGCACATCATCGAACTTTTCGTCGCACAGGGAGCCGATGTTAATGAAAGTTTTACGGCGGAATATTCCTTAGGTGTTCCCCCGTAAACAGAAGCAGGCCCTCCTTCACTGCCCCCGCCGTCTTCAGAATATGACGTCATCTGCCGCCACCGTCGAGCTCAACGAGGCTTACCGTAATCGCTCCGGCCTGAAGCTGCTACATAATTTCTTTCAACGATTGAACCGGGCGTTGAAATAGTCTTAAGGGAGGCACTAGCTGACTATGCAAACCGCTTTTGACCAGCGTTTCAGGGACGTCGTAATGGTCTATGGTACCTCGACGACCTCGTTGAGCTCGTACCGTGAACCATGTTTCCGTGGGAAAATCTTCTGATGTCGTCGGTGTAGAAGGCTGTCATGTAAGGTTTAGATAGATTAGAATGTGCTCTTCAATACTGAGTTGGGGCAGTCGATTTGATTTTAGCAAAGTGTGATTAATGCTGTCTGAAATGTGGAGTCAAGTGTCTCTTTTTTTTGGCCACCCCTGTATAGATTCTTTGCATGCACTGTAATCATCGTTGTTGTGTAGAAAACCCTCTCGAAAGCTTACGTACCTTTCGTCACAACGGCATGCTTGACGTCAGGGAATTGAGTGCTTGAGTGATTTCCCCAAATGATCACGTTCTTCACGTCACCGATTCCGACTCCAGCCTTCATTGCTAGCTGAAAACAAAGCGTACGAATAGAGAGCGAAGTTCTGATTCGGAGCAGGGGACAATAGAGCGAACTGTAAAAGGAGGAGCGTTCCCCATGGCTGTTCGACTCTCTCTGATGAAACGCTCCAATGAGAAAAGTTGGAGCCAGAAGTGTTCCGCTTCTCGAATCCCTTTCTGTTTTATGTTTTGCTTTGTCGAATCCCTTTCAGGTTTTTGTTTCATATGGGACATTTTCCCATTACGCGGTGTACGAAAACTTTTTTTTAAAAACCTTCATTGGTGAAGACAAAACAGGTGCCAGACCACTGTGCTGAGAATCGCGCATCAATGGGAGAAGCGTTGTTGCATACTGTGTTGGTAAGGGAAGCTTTGTAATTTCAGGAAGAAGCAGAAACATTTAAGGTGAGGAGCATGAATTCACTCTCTGAAGACCACACTCTTCTGCAACTTTACCTTTGGCAATCTCAATTTAGAGGGGATCCGTAGATAGCGAACGACGAAGGATGGCTGCTACAGCATTCATTCCAATGGATTCCCGACCCCAAGTTCAGATGGACAGCATTTTATGTACAGAGAACTCGAAGGGCACGCCTTCATACTGGTCCATTACACTACCTTCAGCGCTGATTTCTATAGAAAGCAGTGTAAAACTTCAAATGTTTTTGTTTACAAAATCTCTGTATACCATTGACACTCTATACCCTGCTGACGCTGAGTGTCGATTGTAAACCACGGCTAAGAGGCTGCTGCACTCATTGTCAGCACAGCTTCTCAGAAAAACACCACTGAAAGCGAAAGTCACACGGTTAAAAACATAAGCCTGTGCTTATTCCTAGAATGAACTACGTGACAAATGCAACGTCACACTAGAGGAATGTGCAGATTTATTTTGCTAAAAACCAATAGGATGGATGAGACAGGATTGACCAATTCATACTGATGTTGCCCAAGACGGCATTCACTATCCAACATGAACTTGTTCACGGTTTTTCGAAAGGACATATACTCCTTATTCAATAACGAGTAAGAGGTCGGGGTGCAGACATGACCACAAGTGACGACGGTCTCCACAAAATGTGAATGTTATACCAATGAATAGTTGCATTGTATTCTATCAGTTGTCACTAATTACAACTATCATTTACCAAAAATCAGCTATCACTATGAACCACTACTAACCAGATTTACTTGGAGGCCGTCGTCACTTGTGGTGTATGGTCTGCACCCGACGCTCTTCTCGTTTTTTGAAAGGGATTGTAAGTGACTTTTCCCATTGTACTAAGATTCATGAACTTTTCGGCATTCCGTGTTGACGCAAAATTTCAGGCAAAATCTTGGGTGGATCAAAATTCACAAAGCAGCTGTAAGTCGAATATAAATACTACTCTTTCAGTGCTCACTAACCTGAGCAGTAGCGCGATTATGGTCCAGACGAGTCATAGCAGAGAAGTTGCGCGCAGGAATCTTTGGTGCCGCATATTTTGCACAGATGAAGGCGTTCGTGTTGGCCGGGTTTCCGACGACAAGCACCTGAAATTTTAGGGACACATTAGAAACCTTTGATAAATAACTTTTCGTTAGCAAGCGATTTTGTTTATTTTATTAATTATTTCTTTAAATCACCTTTGTGGTAGCTTTAGCATAGTCAGCCAGTGCCTTGCCTTGGGACTTAAAGATTTTCACATTGGCAGCGAGGAGGTCTTTACGTTCCATTCCCTCTTTTCTAGGCATAGCTGAAAATAATTTCGTAAAATCTAGGACTCTTTCGTTATTCACATATCACTCTCTATCTTTCGACCATTGAGACAAAAAGCCCACACTATGGCGTTCTCCTTCAGACGATGTCAGACTTTGCGAATCGAGCGATTCGCACGGTCGCGTCGCGGCCAGCGAATCTGCTTGATTGGCTGGTACCGCAACGCGACCGCGGACGCTAGCGAATCGCTAGTAGCGAATCACTCGATTCGCAAAGTCTGACATCGGCCTTAGTTTTCATGGGCTGACGTCAAATCTGCCGAGAATACACGCAGCCACTAATTGAGTGGTATCCAATGTACAACTTGTTACACAAAGTATTACCTCCAACAAGGAAGGCGTAGTCGATATCCGTGAATGCTTCCTTTTCAGTGGTTACGCATTCTACGCCTGAAAAAAATGCAAAATACTGCACGGTCAAATACTGGTGGTATCACGGGTCACTATAAGAGGTCTAGATATCGGTATGAAATATGTCGGGCATTCTTGAAGCAACAGTCCCAGCAGGGTTTTTACCTTCGACACTAATGGTGTGGAACGATGCGCTAGCCCTAGTCAAGACATAAGAAGTGTGACTGAACAAAAAACTCACCTTGGAAAGGCCGCTGAACGGCTGAAGTGGGCGTGGTTGGAAGTCGGCCGAGGGGATTGCAGCCGACTGAGCAACCACGCCCACTTCGAAGCCGTTCAGCTCCCTTTCTAGCGGCTTTCCAAGGTGAGTTTTTTGTTCAGTCACACTTCTTATGCTAGGGCTAGCGCATCGTTCCACACCATTAGTGTCGAAGGTAAAAACCCTGCTGGGACTGTTGCTTTAACTGCAAATCAAAAGGCTTCCGACATTTGTTCGCCGACATATTCAAACACGCTCTGCCTGAAAACTTATCTACTCCCCACAGCTCGAAAAGTGCTCGAAAATGCGACCTTTGGTTGGTTGTTCTCTAAGAAAATCCCACTTTTCATAGCTATTTTGCTCCATTTCAAAACGTGTTTCAAGCGTCCCGAAAAATGTGACCTGTTGGCAGATTTAAAATTCCCGTTCGTTATCACTAGGGAAAAGCAGATAAGGTTGGGTGATGAGCCTTAAACCTGTTCTACAATATTAACTCAAGCGAACCTTTGAGATTTGCCAAGGCACAGTCTTGCAACTCAAATTGCACTCCTTCGAGTACTGTTGCCATTGGAGGAATGTCGAGAAGCACAAGAACAATTGGAGTGTCCTGTAACATCAAGAAATGATGACTGAAATCCTTGTATAAGATTTGCAAATCGTGTACCTTTCCAAAGACATCTCCTTTGGCGATCTGAAGAACAAGAGAATAGCCAATCTGGCCGGCAGCACCAGTGACGAGCACGCGAAGGGGAGACATATTATTAAACCTGAAAACCCTTTTAAAATATAAATTAAGATAGCCATAAGCATGCGAACAAGTGGCGTTCCATATGGAGAAAGCATCAAAGTAATCAAAACAAAACTCCCGGCTGACATTGTGCACAGTTACTCAACTTCAAACTACAACCTTTGTTGCTGTCTGGTCCGCATTGTGCAAACCCGGTGTCAATCCCCGTGATAAAGAGCCGAAAGCCAGAGCTGCGGACTGAATTTTCGTCGAGTGCAAATATTCTGAACCTTTCGTTCTCTACTAATTTATTCCCATAATTTTAGGAATGTTAGCAATGCTTATCACCGTTCAAACACCTCTACGATTCCGAATAGCAGTCCAATGCGTGGCTTATCGGCTTAGCGCTGACTGTTATGCCCTTTATATCGCGAGCATAGCAGCAAAATGATCCGAAGCGAGCTTTCATTCACTTCAGGCATGAGGGATACTTGCCCCGTCATGCGATCGCGATATTATTTGATAAGGCTATGAGTCGCTCAGATTACGGCAAGTCCCTTAGCGAACACTGGAACATGCCACAAGTCCCGCACGTGCTCCTTTTTCACTAAAAATTGCAGAAATAAAAAGAAGCATGTGAAGTCAAATGATAAGAGATCAAAGTTAATAGCGTTTTTAGCAACTTTCTTCCTATAGGCCTTCTTATCAGCTGCGCATTGCAAGGTATGACAGCTCTGTTTTTTGTTGATTAAAGTGACGTCGCATGGTGCCGTGGTTTCCATCAAACTGACCCTGGACCACAGATTAGGACTGGACAGCGCTAGCGCTTGAATTCAGCTTTGTATGTATGAACACAGCCAGACAGCGTGTAGGAAACTTCATATAAAAGCATATCAGGTGATGTAACTGGGGAGGTTCTGAATAAGCGAACTATGTAGTTTCGACCCCGTCTGATCAAGTGTTCTGCCTATAATTCAACATTCTTGTGAAATACGAAGTATCCCAAAGGCAAAAACTGTTAGGGGTTGTGGCAATAAAGTCGGTATGACTGGGATGAAATCGCACGGAGGGTTTAGCAGTTACACCAAAGAGCGTTTGATATTTTAAGACGGCTAATAAACTTCAAAGGCTTTGATAAGGTAATGGTCTTGAAAGATGTGGTGTTATGACATCGGCGTAGGAGCAGAAAGCATTTACGAGCTGTGGAATGGGATATTATTAGTACACCATAAACACTATTAATTGCGCCATGAAGAGGGAAAAACGAATTGCGAGGGTAGCGCCATCCAATCTCAAACAAAATGCACGCTGTTTAGGGTCATAGATAGGGTCCCTAAAACCTCGCGACGACTTGTGATTCCGCTGAAGCAAACGTATCGACTCGAAAACTTGGTGATTATGCAATTGGGTGATCCGGTGATACCGCTAAACGGATTAGGCGCACGTCGATAAGATCGACCCTACCCCTATGACCGTTCGCTGATACGGTGCGTCGACGAGTCCTCAATCGAAACTTAAAGACACGGGTCAGATCGAATTGTGTGTTATTTCGTTTGAAAATTAGACAAGAAGTTAGAAAAGAAAGCCGCCAGGGGGGAGAGGGGGGGAGGGCGAGGGAGGCAGCAGAAGGCAAAAAAGAAAAGGCTGGAATTTTCCTGAGGATCGCCAACAAGGGACAATGCGCATTTGAGAAACGAAAAAGAACACGTTGTGTGGAGAGGGCGCAGACGCTACATTTGCTAACGGTGTGACACTGTGGCAGAGCACGAGCTGAAGAACATCCCACCAGGGTCAACCCTACGTTGCTACAAGTAGCAACGGGGGGTCGTACTTGGATGGACTTGGAGGGGGGGGTCGTAGGTAGCACGAAACATGTGATGAGATGAGAGCGCGCTGGAGAAATTTGCCGTTTCAGACGTGGTGTATACCCACCCCCGCCCCCCCTCTAGTGCTGAAGTGGGGTCGGATTGAAACTTCTCGTAAGAGGGGATCGATAAAAATTTTTTGCAATAAAGGACAACGATAGGACCGACCGTGCTCCCACGTCGCCGCAGGTTCAAGCCGCGACAGTTATCACGACCCTGCAAGGGCGTCATGTCACTTCAGCAAAGATTGCTGAGCGATTAATCGCACCGTGCCTTAACTGAGCTAATTCGCGATCCTCAACAGGACCTAACGCGGTAAGAAAACAGGGACACAAGCGTGAAAGGAAGAAGCGAAGGAAAAGTGACTCGCTGATATGATGGGTCTGTACAATGAGTATTTATCAAGCGGATGGCCTGATCGCGAGTCATCATCCATGAACACGATTGATTGGTATGCCGAAAGGTGCGACCAAGTGCGTGTGTTAGCTGTGTACGGTATTGCTCCGCGCCGGCAGCATATATCCGCCGTGTGTTAAAAACGCCAAAACGCCGACTCCACGGGATCAACCAGCATTGCTCAATGCAGATAGACGACTCCCCCCCCCCCCCTTCCCTTCCGTCAAGGAGTGCGGTTCGCTAGGACAGAAAGCGGAATTTCCCTTTTTGCAGCGCGAACTTCTCCGCTAGGCGGAGCCTCGAGTCCACAAGGATGAGTAGGACCTCGGATCTCGTTAGTAGCGAAAAAGTAGTTCCGCGTTGAAGACGACGTATTCGTTCTATGTTCCAGACCACAGCCCTTTTTAGAGAAGTCTCGATTAAGGCCCCCACCACACATCAGTAGTGGATATCCAAACACAGTTCCCAAAAATCTATATAAAAACCCACTGTGAGAAGCTGCGCAATACCATGACCCTGTTCGCCTACACTGACATCGGTCCTTTCTATCCCCACATGGCTCTCCGTTGATGAAAAGATCTCAGCTCTATCCCACGGGAGAGCCATGTGGAGGTAGAAATGTCTCAGCCACGTAATATTTGACACCTAATCTCAACACTGGTCCCATCTGGGCGCCCGGCTATGCTGTTGGCGTCTACAGAAAATATTTACAAAGCCTCTGCGTTATTACCGTACCCAACCACGTGACCAGTAGCTGTAAACATGATCGGAATTTGATAAGCGATAATCAGTGTGTAAAACAGCTCTAGAAAGAGCAAGGGTAAGAATTCTTTCCTTTCTCAACTTTCTGGAGGGATTATGCAACTCTACAATTCTCCGCTCATAACTGTCCAACAACTCCTGTAGCATTCTTTCCCAGTCAATACTTTCGCTTTTTAGTGAAAAGATTAAGAAATGAATTCCTTTTTAAGTACCTTAGCTTATGCCCTGGTCACATGATAAGATGATCAAAAGCTTAAAAATTATTTTGCATGTGACACATAAGATATAAGCACATTCCACGACAGCTTAGGTGTAAGTTATGGCACCTAAAAAGGAGAGTGCAGATGCTATCAGCTGATCAGAAATGAAGAAAACAAAACAAACAGTCATAAACCCAAAAAAGGACCTCGACTGATTTTGAAATTGTGCAGGAAAAGTGCGAAGAAATTCGGCTCATGGTGAGTTCTTTCATATTGACATCATACCAAATTCAGCGACATCATTTTCCTACCTGTCATTTCTTACTCTTTGTTAGAACCTCTACTATTTCTTATCTTATCGCAGATGATCGCAAGCGTCCCCGGCCACGTGGAGGCTCTCCGTCGAGCGGGAGCGGGAAGGGGCACGGGTCAAGCAGGGCACCCTTCAATAGTGAATAGTGGAGCCCACCCCCCCCCTAGGATGAAAGAGAAGGGAAAATGCCTCGAGTGGCACAGATAGCGCCACTGCATCTCAGCTCGGAGCCAGGATACCGGTATGTTCTCTAAGATTGAAGATCGGCCTACCTTAGCTCACGAAGGTGGCCAATCCACTCAACTGATCGTGGAACAGTCTCTGAACCAAGAACCTCTGAGATAAAGCAAACTATGAGTGGGCCCAGTTATTGAGGGGGAAGTTGAGGGGTCTTGGCGCGGAGCACCGCAAGCCATTCACAAACATGACAAATATTCTCACTTTTTACTCCCCACTCACTTCATTCCATTATGCTCACCCAAGAAGGTTTACCCATCCTAGAATCTCCCCTCCCTGCGGAATATCCCGGAGGTTCCTCCTCCCTGAGATACCGACAAATTACTGCCTCGCGATGCCTCTGCCTCCATAGGGCTAGGCCTAGGCCCAACCATAGGCTTCAGCATAAGCGAAAGTCTAAGCATAAAACCCCAAGTTCAACCTTCGGCTTCAATGATCGCGTAGCTCGGGTGACCAGGCCTTACGAGGAGAGCTGAACGTCTCCCCTCTCGACTCCACTTGGGCCTATGAAAAGCATCTAAAAGGGTCACTGACGACACCGACGACCTTTCAGAGGTTGTCTAGTTTGTCTTTGAAAATAAAATGGCTACGAAGAAATCTGAGAAAGGCCCAAGTTACGCAGAGGTTCTGAAAGCAGTGAGTGAGAGAGGACAATGAAAACACACCGAGAACAGCAGCCTGAAAGAACCTCAACTCGACACGTTAGCATGTCGAATACGTGCATATTCACTAAACACTTCCCGTAGCTCT